GCTCCCGCGCTGGACCAGCTAGCGCAGTTGCAGCACCGCCAGCCCCACCGTGCGGTCCTCGCGCGCGAAGCAGTAGTCCTTGACGCACACCTGCAGCTCGTAGCACTCGGGGCCCGCGTCGGCGCTCAGCGTGCTGCGGGAGGGCGGGGCATGAGGGAGGCCCCGCCCACACACGCGCCCCGCCCCGCAGCCCGAGCTGGGCCACGCCCACTCCGAGTTAGCTCCACCCCCGTCGTTTCCCACGCCTGCAACGCATGCCCACACCTGCGTAGCGTTCCTGCCAAGTCCGTTCCCTCTCCTCACCCACCCAACAGCGCCCCTACAGCCTTGCACCCAGCTCCCGGTCCCCCCAAGTGACCCTTCCCTCAGATCCCGTCTGGCCAGGCCATCCTCCTACCTCAAGATATCCGCACCTTTGCCCTCTGCTGGCTGAGCTGCTGCCCCCATGCCTTGCCTCAGTTATCCCACCCATAAGCTCCTGACCACGCTCCCCTCTGAGCCAAACTTCTCCCTCTGACGTGGCCCCTCCCCCATACTCTCTAACCCACCTTTCTTTCCCCCAAGACGCCCTCCCAACGTGTCCCTGCCCTGGCGCCTTACCACGGGTGACACCCATTCCTGCATGCCTCTCACCCCATCCGGGATTCATCCATGGGCAGTAACACTGCTCCTGCCCCTATGCACTCCCCAAGGGGCCTGCCCTGAAGCTGGCTCGTCAAGAGTCCCTCCTTTCGGGCCACGTCCCCACCACTCCCTCATGTCCCTCTCCCGGGTTGTGCTCCTATCCCAGAAGTACTCAGGCTCACCCCGGGTGACATCTGCCCCCCAGTAAGCCATGCTTCTGCTCCTGAGCATTCCCTCAGGTGAACTACCACCCCAAATTCCTCTGACCAAGAGGCCTGTCCTGACACTCGTATCCCTTAGGGGCTCCCACCTCCCCTTGGGAAGTACCAGCTCTGATACCACCTTACCCCTCTGCACTTCTGTCCCCCAAGAGCACTCCCCAACATTGCCCTGCCCCAGTGCCCTGTGAAGCTCACACCTGATCTAAAGATCTGCCTAACAAGATGCCAACCCTACCCCAGGTAATCCCGCATATACCCTAACAGACTTATTTATGCTCCCCAGGTTGTCCATCCCTTCTGGACCCCATCCTGATACCCCCTGACTCAGCCCACTCCTCACTCCAAGAACCCCCTCCAGACATGACCTCACCTCCACCCCACATGACACCCACCCCCATGCCTGGATCAAGCCACACGCCACTCAGGTCCCCCAGAGCTGACTCCTCCAGATGACCTGCACGGACACTCCTGACTAGCCTTGCAGCTGACTACATGAGTCCCCATCCCCATGTAACCTCAGTCCTACCCCTAGGTGACCTCAGTCCTGCCCCCAAGCCCCTCAGCCCCTCACTCACATCCCTTAACGGTCCAAAATCTCCAGCCCTAGAAATGGCCCTGCCTGTCACACCCCTTCTGTCCAGGCTTCCTCTTCCCTTAACAAGCCCTCATCAAGATGTTACCCCACAACACCCCATTCCCCTTATCATACTCACTGCCTTTCCTGGGACCTGCCTGTCTCAGAAGGTGACCACCATCCTGTGTCCCCTCACTGACATCACTCCTGCATTAAGGTGCCCCCCTTTCCAGTGTCCCCACCTAGGATGTGGCCTCTCCCATTCCTGCACCCAGTTACCCCTGGACATTCCTCCTGCTCAGCTGACTGGGGTTCACCTGGCAGGTGCCCCCTCCCTTCTCCCCATGCTCTTCCAAAGCATCCTAGACTCACAATTGGAAACTCTCATTGTACTTGGGGGCCCAGCTGTTGTTCTTGGATTTGGTTGCAAATTTGCGTTTCTTGTCACTGAGCTGGGGCCCGATGATGTTAACCTCGATGAACGGCCGAAAGATGCCAGAAGTCTGCCACTTGAGGTCGTTGGCGGCCACCACTGTCGAGGGAAGTAGAGGGTAAGACTGGTCAGGATCCCTTAACACCTCCAAGTAGACGTCTGTGGCTTCCACCTCCTGTCTGAAATAAAGACTACATTTCCCAGCATGCCCTGGCAGCCAAGTGTGGTCATATGACTAAGTTCTGGCCAATGGTATGTGAGAAGTGATGTGTACAACTTTCAGGGTGTGGCTTAAAGGGCAGGGATTGAGCCCTGAGCTGCAGGCTGCAGTGCTGGTGGGGGCTGAGTGCTTCCAGACCCTACAGAGGAGAAAAAGCACGTTAGGGATGAAGTGTAACACACGATGGCGGGAGCCCAGATCCCTAATACTGTGATGCCTCCATGCCAGATCTGGGCTGATTGCTCTTGGACTGTTATCTCACAGAAAAACTATCTGGTTGAAGCCACTGGCATTTTAGGCCTTGGCTCAAACAGCCCATCTGTTTTCCAGTGAACAAGCCAACAACAGGAAAGCAGAGCTAAAAATGGAGAAAGTGGGATTGAATCCTGTTACCCTGCACTCCCAGATCCAGCCACGCTTGAAGGTAGTTACCTGTGGACTTTTTAGTTTTATGAACCATTACACAAAAAATTTTTTCTTGGGCTGGCCGGTTAGCTCACTTGGGAGAGCGTGGTGCTGGTAACACCAAGGTCACAGGTTTGGGTCCCCAGACTGGCCAGCTGCCAAAAAAAAAAATTTTTTTTTTCTTGCTTAAACTAGTGGAGTTCGATTCTTGTTTTAGAACCTAGTGAGTCCTCGGCTGAGCCACGCCCCTTCCCACTTCAGGCCACTCACCTTTCACTGTGACCTTCTGTTCCCCAGTTCCTGGATGAGTGATGATTCTTGTCTTAGAACCTAGTGAGTCCTCGGCTGAGCCACGCCCCCTCCCACTTCAGGCCACTCACCTTTCACTGTGACCTTCTGTTCCCCAGTTCCTGGATGAGTGAAGAGCTCAACGTGGACGGAGACTTCACCCACGGGGTCTTCCACACCTGATCCTGGGTGGGGCAGGGGAGGATGCTTGGCATGAGCTCTGTCTTTCCCACCCACCAGGAGGGACCTTGACCACCTCCCAACCACCACATGCTGGCGTCACCAGGTCATCAGCCCTGACAGGGAGGCACTGAGGGGAGCCAGAATGGTAGGTGCTCTTGGGAAGTTAGTATCCTGGGTTCTGGCCCTTCACTGCCTTGCTGTGTGATCTCGGGTAGCTCTCTTACCCTCTCTGAGCCTAAAGCATCTGCTTTCCTTTTTCTCATTCCATTGAATGCCATGTTGTCCAAACTCAGCCTTCATCTCACACTACATCTCAGTAGCATACCTGTTTCCTCCTCTTGGCTGAAACAATGCCACACGGTCCAGATTCTCATCCTACATCCTAGCAACTCCTTTCGCCCTCTTTTCTCACTTTCTCCTCCTCTGTGGGTCCTCAAACTGCCCCTGTTCCCCTGTTCTTTGTCTTCACTCTCTCCCGAAGTGCTGGCACACTGGGAAATCCAGCCAGCTCTACCTTCAAAGTACATCCAGAATGTGATCCACATCTTTTACCTCTATCCTGGACCAGCCTCCATGGTCGCATGCCTGGACTACTGCAGTAGACTCCTCCTGGGTCTCCCTGTCTCCAGCCTTTCATCTATTCTCAATACACCAGCCAGAAAAATCCTATTAAGTCAGACCATATCTCTCCTATGTTCAAAACCTTCCCATGGCTCCCATTTCACTCTGAAATAATCAAAGTCTTTTCTGTGACCTGCAATGTCCCTCTCGATATGTCCTTGCTATTACTTCTCCTGCCTTATCTCCCCCCCTCTTGCCCTCCTTAATTCTGATCCAGCCCCTCAGGCCTTCTCACTACTCCTTCAACACACTGTGGTCACTTGGCCCAGAAACTCCTTTTCTCCTGAAGTGACAACTTGTGGGGGCATCTTTTATTTTTCCTGCCCTCATTTCCCTTCTAATACAGAACCTTGAGTTTCTGTTGAGAAATGCTCCCACCCTAACCTCAAACCTCATGGCTCAGGTGGGCTAAATGAACTTCAGATATGGCTAAATGAACCACTGCTGCCTAAGCAGAGCATTCTCCGCACATAGCTGCAGTGATTGGCTCAAGCATAGTCGTGTGTCCCAAGCTGGACCAATACGAGCTGGGCCTGGGACTGTTGGAAAAGGGTCTTCCTCTGGTATCAAGCTATCAGGGCTGTCTCTGCCCAGCGAGGGGAGAGCCCACCCCATAGAGGTCCCAACAGAGACCAATGGCCAATGGCGTTGTTGGAGACTCTGGACCCAGGTATTCTTGATGCTAACTCAACCCCTAACTTTTCATTTCTGGAGCCAACCAATTCCCTTGTCTGTCTGAGTCATGGTGAGGTGCACATCTCTTTCGGGCCACCAAAAATGTCCTGAATATTTGGTTCTGGTGGGAATCGTTGAAGGGGCAGCTGAAAAGCTTCTGTCCCAGTCCCCTTCTGTCACATTTCTGTGGCTCAGAGGGCATCCTGCCGGGCCTGTGGACCTGTGACCACCAGCACCTTCACCAGAACCCCTAGCATCCCAGGCAGCTCCCCACTCCTGGAGCACCCCATGCACGGGGAGAGGGGGTGAGGGACAAGGAGAAAGTCGGAGGTGGCGGGTGGGGGATCAGGACAGTCAGAGGTTGATCTGGGTTACCTCGCACTGGACAGGAAGTGATTGAGGGTCAGGGAGCAGAGAGGCCTGGAGACCCCCATCACCCCAGTCCTGGGGTGTGTGCCCCCAGTCTTCACTGCCCACCCCAGGCTGTCTTTCTTGTCATCTCAGGCTCCCGACCCCCACCAGTCACATGCTCAGCCTCACCCCCCACCCCCCACCCCGCCCCCAGGCTGATGCTTCACGGCAAGCTCAATCCGGGCCAGACGTGGGTGCCAGGGGGGTCAGACAGTGGTGGGTTGGGTGAGAGGCAGACCAAGGCCAAAGCTAGTAAGAAGGGGGGAAGGGGGCAGTGCTGGGCGCCCCCATCCCGTGGTTTGCTGGCTCCACGGGGAAGGGTCTTTGGTGGACCTCTCTGTGCTTCCCCCAGCCCCACTCCCCCCTCCCCAAGTCCTGGGCCCCCCTGCAGGGGGAAGGTTCCTTGGGCAAGTGGTTTAAGACTCCTTTGATCCTCAACATCCTCATCTGCAGACTGACAGACCCCCTCAAGGAGGCAGCTGGAAAAATCTTTTCGAAACTTCCCAAGAAATGCTTGGCATGGAGTTTGTCACAGTTAGAGCCTGATGTATGTTACTTGTTTTCTACTCTGGGAAACATGACATCGAATATCATTATAATAATAATTGCTGTGAGCTTATTATGTGCCAGGAATTGCTCTAAAATGAATTTCTAATCCTAAAAAGAATCCTATGATTATTTTTAAATCCTCGACTGTCCCCTTTTTACAGATGAGAACACTGAGGCTCAGGGAGGCAGATTCTTGCCCCAGGCACCCAACCCTAGAGCGGCTGAGCTGGGATCTGAGCCCAGCTCTTAACGTCACAGATGCCTGTCCAGGGGACCCGGGGTCTGGCTTAAGAGATGCGTCTTGGGAGAAATGGATTCCGACTCGATCGCTTCTCCTTCCCCATGTGGAACCAGCGAGTCGTCCTTCCTCCTCTCTCTCCCCACAGGCCTGGGAGGCAGAAGGATGGGCCTTTTACTAGCCGGGCCGGGAGGGTGCAGGCACCGGGCACCGCTTGGGCAGCAGCATGTACCCTTCTCAGGATAAATGTCTTCACTAAGGGTAAACCTAGTCCCTTTTGCACAATGGACTAATCACGGGGGGGAGAGGGGAGAGAGGGGGAAAGGATGGGAGGGGGAGAGACGAGCGAGTGAGAGGCGAGGATGGGGGAGTGTGCGTGGCAGGGGGCAGGGGGGCGCAGAGAGGGGACAGCGAGTGACAGGGAGGAAAAACAAGAGAGAGAGAAACGTCAGCTGCAGACAGACGGACAGACAGACAGCCTCCCGCTCCGGGGACACCAGGGACACTCAAAGCAGTGAGGACTGAGGGGGAAGCTGAGCACAGAGCCCCGACGCCCATGGAGGAGCCTGGGCTGACTGGGGGCGGGGGGGAAGGGGGTCTCTGGAGCCCGCAGGGCTTTGCCCCCCCGCCCCCCAGCCTCGGGATGGAAGGCAACTCTCCCCCCACCTCCACTGCCGAAACAAAGCCTGGGGTCAGCTGCCCAGCTGCTTTCCCTTGTCTGCACCTGGCAGCCAATTTTGAAAGGGGAGGTCTCCAGGGAGGGGAAATAGGCCCCTTGGAGTCCTGCCCTCCAGCCCCAGCTGCTGTGTGTGAGCTCAGAGAGGGACAGGAGACAGAAGCAGAGACAGAGACAGAGAATTTGAGAAACGGGAACTCCCTCTTTGTCCACAACCCCCTCCAAGTCCGGGTCCCTCCCACCCTCGGGGCTGTCAATCATTCTTTAGCTCCCTGACATCACAGAGGTCCCTCCCCAGAAGACTCCAACCACTCCTTAGGCCCATGACATCAGAGGCACTGCGCGTCCCGAGCTGTCACTCCCTAGAGCTGTCAACCACTCCCTGGAACTATGGCGTCCTTGGACCCACGATGTCGAGGTCACGTCCCCAGGAGGTGTCAATCACTCCTTGGCTCCGGGACATCGTAGATTCTCCCAGATGACAGTAACCTTACGACGTCATAGGTCCCACCCCTAGGAGTTGTCATTCATTCCCTGGTTTTTGATGCTAAAGAGGTCCCGCCCCATAGCTGTCATAACGTCACAGATTTTCCCAGGCTGGCAATCATTCACTGGCCCGTGACTCCATGGAGATCGCCCAGAGATGTCAATTCTACCCTGGCCCATGACGCCACACGGCGGGGAGCTGCCACGCAGGCTCGGGCTAGGCTGCTTCTGCCGGCAGCGGGGGAGGGGGTGGCGTCTGTCTCGCCCTTACCCTGGGCAGATTGAGTCTGCACAAAGGTCTTGATGAGCAGGTCGGTGGCCTGCGTGTAGAGGGACAGGGCGTAGCGTAAAGACTGCAGGTCCGGGCTCTTCTCCAGGAAGGTCTTCTTGAGGCCCACGCCGCCCGCATGGAAGTATTGCTGTGCAGGACCGGATGGGTGGGGGTGAGGCCTGCGAACCTCCTCCCCGACCATAGGGCTGGGCAGCCTGATACCCCTTCCCCGCATACCTCCCCCTTCCCACCCCCACCTGATGTGCTCAATGACTCCGGGGCCTTCAAAACACCCAAGTGGATCCTGCAACCCCCTCACCTCCACCCCTGTCCCAACCCCCCCGCGACTCCCAGCACCCTCTGAATAAGACCCATGCCTCATGCCCCCCTCAGCCTCTTTCCAAATGTCTTTTCTAGATCATTCCTGTCTCAGGGGCTTTGTACTTATTGTGTCCCCTGCCCTGTTTGCTTTGCCTGGTGAACTCCTATGCATTCCTCAAAACCCACCTCCCACATGCCCTCCTCCAGAAAGCCCTCTCTGCTCCCTCCCTGGGCTCCCCCAGTCCCTGGTCTCCCCTCTACCCCAGGCCTGACCCCATAAGGCTAAGGAGGACTGTACCCAGCTCTCTCCCCCATCCTGGGGCTCCTCAAGGTCCCCAGCATCAGCCAGACCAGTCTTGGCACAGAAGGGGGAATCAGGGACTGTTTATAAACTGAATGAATTAATGTGGGTCCAAGGTGTGCCTAGGTCCATGTCCACACCAGTCATACCCTCTGCCTGCCCACTTGGGATAGGAGGGGTGGGACCTCTCACCTTGATGGTGTCCAAGGCCAGCTCAACCACAGCACACTGCTTCGGGGTCAAGCTCTTGGCTTCTTCTCGTACCATGTGGTCCTGGATGGATGGGGAGAGGGGCCCGGTGAGCAGAGCACCTTGTTAAACTTTGACGAGGTGGACTCCGGGTCTGAATTCTCCTCCTCCCAGCTCCCAGCATGTGACTGGCACACAGCAGGTGCTTAATAAGTACTTGCTGAATGATTTGTATCCTTGAGCCAACTGTATCTGAAGCTCAACCATGCTCATCTTTTCTACACACTGGAGCAAGTAAATTGTGCTTAAGCCAGTGAGTAGGGTTTCTGTCCCTTGAGTCTGAAAAACACGTCACTATCCTGGGACCTCTCCCTCAGGAACCCCCCACTCTGTGGCCTACCCCTCCTGCCCCCACCCCTAATGTCACCTTGAGTTTGGACAGCTGACCCAGCTCCTTGGCTGCATTGAAGATCATCTGAGTTCCCTGCAGGCAAAAACAGACACAGCTGGGTGAGGGCCAGAGTCCTCTAGCTCAGCCCCTAGGCACTCAGCTGACACCCAGCCCTGGTTCTGGACAGGGCAATGGTTGTGTCCCAGCAACAGAGGTCTGAAGCCCCCCAAGAAATGCTGAGGAGGAGGTAGAAAGCTCATCTCCAGAAATCCCTGTCCCACAGGGATGCTACGCACCCTATCACCCCTACCACGATCCCAGTTTTGTGAGACAGAAGAGAAACAGGCAGGGATTGAGCTGTGAGAGGCAGAGGGTGGGGGAGCCCCAAATGGGGGGTGTGGGTGGGGCTTACCAGCCTCAAGTTAGGGAGCCTTGGGAAAACTGTGGGCTGGTCTGAGGTTTCAGGAAATAGTAAAACACCCCCCTGCCCCCAGGACCATCCCCTCTACAGGAGGATTTCCCCTGTAATATGCAGGAGGCAGGGCACCGTTAACCTGATCTTTTATTTTTTGGGTGTCTGGCCGGGTCTGATCTTTTAAAGGAAGAATGCTTCCCCCCGACCCGACAACACATACCTCCATGCCCATACCCCACCCTCACCCCCAAAACAGACACAGGCAAGATGGTGACCTTGTTCTGAAAAGCCAGTGGGCCTGGGTTCAAATCCCAGCTCTGCTGTGTGGCCCTGGGCAAGTCACTTAACCTCTCTGAACCTGTTTACCCATCTAGATGGGGGAAATCATATCCTCTTCATGGCTTCCTTGGGACACTCAGTGTTCACTATAATCATCACTTAGTCTCAAAGTCATGGGCAATGCTATGGGAGGCAGGGTCTCAGCCTGGAAACCATATGTCCAGCCTCCATCCCACTGCACTGGGTGACCTTAGGCATGTCCCAGACCCTCTCTGGGCCTCATTTCCTCCCCTGGCTAACAGGGGTACCCATACTAGCTTGGGGGATGGGTTGGGGCTGAGTATCTGTGAGGTAATGAGTCTTGGATTATTGGGTACTGAGGTGGCCTGGGGGTCCTGGGTGGGGATAGGTGAGGAGGGGGTCTGTTTACAGCCAGGATATTTGGAATGACATTGACAGTCCACTAGCTGGCCAGTGTGAACTGGCCACCCTGCCACTACTACTGGTATTATTATTGTCATACTGGCTGTACTGCTAATTTCTTCTCCATGATCCCCTAAGGCTGTTAGAAGCACAGACTCAGGAGCCCAGCTGTCCGGGTCCCAGTTTTCCCTGTGGCACCCACCTGTAGTCCAGCGGGCAGCAGGGGCCCTCCTGGCACCTCTGCCCCACCTGCCACCCCTCCTGCCCACCATCCCCCATGAGCAAACCAGACAGACAAAGGAAGAAGAGACCAACAGACAGGTTCACAATATGCCCCCGGATGGCACAGACCACAGAGGTGGAAGGGGGCACAGGTGGGGTGGAGGGTGGGGATGGGAGCCAGACAGACAGTGAGAGGTCAGTCTTACGTCTGAGTGGCTTGGCAATTTCACCCTGCCCTGTGGAGAGAATCAGGTGGAGGTCAGAGTTGTGTGGCTGCTGGAGGGATACTCAGTGGGACTTCCCTGCCCCCTCAAAGCACAGTCCCACTCCCCAGCCCATGAGCTCCCTCTCAGGTCCTGGGTCTAATGCTGGGCCCACTCCCCAGCTAGGCACCTTCCCTTGTCCCCAAGCAAGGGTTTGGGGCCAGACTCCTTGACTGCCAGTACACTCTGGGGGTATCCAGGAGGCTGGAAGCAGCCCACCACCTGGTGACAGGTACCCGATCCCACAGTCAGCCTGCCCCAGGATGGAGCTCTTGGAGAGGGGGAGAGAAGAGAGGCGGCTTGGGGTCTCTCCTCCCCCAACCCCTAAGACCTTACCCAGGCAGGCCTGACTCTACAAAAAATGTACTAACAGGTACTGAAAGTTCACTCAACATACAGACATAGACCCAGGCACACCCATGGGTGTGCAGAAAGTTTATGCACGTACACATCCGGATCCACATAGAAACACACACATGCAGAACTCACAGGCTAAAATACATATGTGCGCTCCTGCACGATCACACACATAAATCACGCACCCTTGCCCTCACATGGATGCACATACATGTATACAGTGCTTGGCACATCAAATGTGCCCCCATGAAGGGCTGGCTGAGTGAGTTGGGAGGCCCTACGAGCCACGCTCACGAAGTGAAACTTCACCTGCATGCATACACGACATCTTCCATGCGAGTACACAGCAAGGCAGCCACTCGTGTGTTGTTGTAGCTCCCACCCATCCTTACAACCAACACCCATTAGAACAAAAAATCTACATAAAGAACAACACATGTCTCAGTCCAGGGCAGTGATCCAGTGTCTCAGCCCTTAAAGAAGCCGCAGAATTTCAGCTGAGCCCAGGGCTGGGATGGGCCCCTTGAGTGTTGCTGGGAGAGGGTGGGAGCTGTACACGCTTTTGTTCACACATGCACATACTCTCCATGCCATTTCCCTGGGGCAATTGCCTTGCCTCTGACTTTTGGTTTCATGGGACTTGGTTAGGTCATCCGCCTCCTACCCAGGACCCCTATCTGACCTTCCTGCCCATGCACACGGACACACACATGCACATGAGGCCCTCATTACCTTTTCTAATCCCTTGCCATGTTTTCTCAAGAGGGTGCCCTGCAGAGACAATGTCACAGGGTGATCAACTTGGCAAGCCATTGGGAACCTGGCAAGCCACAGGGTGGGAACCCGGAATGGTCATGTGTGCACACATGGGGACAGAGGGATCTACACTGCACAAGGGGCTGGTTGCTGGGTTGCATGGGGATTGCATGTGTGTGCCTTAATGAATGACTCTTAAAAGATGTGAGGCAGAGAGACAGGAAAGAGACAAAGAGAGAGAAAGAAAGAGAGAGATAAAGATAGAAATACAAAGCCAGAGACAGCCAGAAAGAAAGGATAGAAGTTGCTGCCAAAGCATAATCCATTTACATTTAATGTACTTATGAGGCTCTTGGTTGTTGTATTAACAAGAAAGCAAACAAGCTCCATGTTCAGACAGACCTGAATTTGAATCCTGACTCTGGCATATACTTATATTTACTATTTGGCCTTGAGCAAGTGACTCTTCCTCTCTGAGCCTCAGCTTTCCTCATCTGTAAAATGGGAATAATAATATCCATCTCACTCAAAGGGTTGTCATGAAGGTGAGCTGAAAGAGCAGCTATAAGAAGGCCTAGCATGTATGGAGTCATCAGTAAATGTAAATTCCTTTATCTTCTGGCCTACAAGTACATTGTCTGTGGTTGGGTATGCTGCCACCAGGTGGTTACAGCCAAAGACCCAGGCTGTACCCACTGAGAACTGAGATGAGCACTCCTAACTTTTGACAAGGGGACATCTTGTAACAGCCTTGTCTTGCCCACAAAGGGAGAATCTGAAGTGGTTTTACTGATGTGTCTGCCTTCATATATGTCTGCATACTACCACCGTCAGAATTAGCTCTGATTTAGCAAGCGCTGCCTCCGGGCCGGTCACTGAGATGAGCACTTGAATGTATTATCCCAGCTAGTTCCTACAACAACCCTCAGAGAGTTGCTACAATTAACCCCATTTTCCAGACAAGGAAGCAGAGGTTAGAAGATGAAATGACTTTCCAAGGTCACAGAGAGAGAGAGTAGCTGGGCTAGAATTTGACCCCAAGTCTGCCTGACACCAAAGCCACGACACCGTCTCCAACCTGGGTGCGTGTGCGTGCGTGAGTGCGTGTGTGTGTGTGTGTGTGTGTGTGTATTGGGAGTCTGGTAGATAGGGGGTGGGGAACAGAGGAACAGAGTCTGGTGCTTGGGACTTCAGTGGTGTCAGAGGTGGGGGCCTGCACTGAGCATCTGAGTAGGAACATACATGGTGAAGACTTGCATTCTGCAGGACTGCTAACAGTTCAGAGCCCAAACTAGAGGTCAGAGGGCCCTCTTGACTTTGAACCTCTTTCTAGCTTTGGGGAGAGAGCCAGATGTCCTGGTGGCATTAGATCACGGGAGTAAAGGTGGATTCCAACTAAAGGGCAAGGACAGATGTGAAGAAGGAGCTGGGACCAGGGTTTGGGAGCTGGCAGCTCCTCTGGACTTACAATGGGGCGGGGTGTGTGGGCGTGGCCTCCCTCCCTCCAGGCCCCGCCCCCTCCCCGTGCCCCG